CCTTTTGCCTGAAAGCTCCTGATCAGTAACTATAGGAATGACTGGCTCTCTTTGTAATCTGCCATCTTTGCTTCTATCCCTTTTCCATGTTCTGATAATCCCAACTGGAGATGATGCTATTATGCTGAGGTTATTCATTGGAGATGAAATATAAGCAGGCTCCCCAATGGCAGTTGCCTCCATATCCAGAGTTTTGGCTTTTTCCACCGAGTGTACATTTGCTTCCACCATGGGTCCTGCTGTCCCCTTAGCAGCCAAGTGAGAGTTTTGAGCCAATGAGTCCTCTTTATCTTGATGGTGGGTGCGAGAGGATTCTCCAGGTAGCACTATAAGCTGGTTACTTCCTTCCGCTCGACTTTTTGTAGATCTTGGAGAAGATTGCTGAATTGGAGAGGAAGGACTAGAGGAATTGGGGGATTTTGAGCCAGATGAATTTAGATTTGCCCAGTTTTGGCCTTCAGGAGCACGAAGCCAATCACCGTATTGTCCCTCTTTCAGGGATTTAGATATGAGATCTTGCTGTCTTTTAGAACAACTTCTTTCTAGGTGCCCTATAAAGCCACAATAATGACACATACTCACTAGTTTTTCGTATTTAAAGCTCACTGTGTTCAGCTGATCCCCCAATCTAATAGTAGCACATCGAGGAATCGGTTCCTTTATATCGATGGAGACCAGAAGCCGCATCACAGGGCCTCCATGACCACCCGCACCAACCACAACGACATTTTTGAGCTGTTTGAATACTGCTCCTAATTTGACTCCAACCTCTGTACTAGGCCAGTTAAGAGGGATGTTAAAGACTTGAACCCAGAAATTAACTTCTTGGAAAATAGGATGATTGATAGATAGCCCATCACACCACTCCGTTAGAACTAGGTATTGGTTATCGAAGCTCCAGTTTGTGCCTTTAGCTACTCTTTCTTTATCTTCTCTGCTTTGAAACAGAAATTGAAAGTAGTTGTGACCTAACTCCTTAACCTCCATAGCTTGATTAATTCTCCAAATGTGACTCATAGCACGTTTAATACCGAACCAGCTAGCTTTCCGATCACCAATAACTTTTCCAAAAAGACTCCGTTGACAGATTTCTGCACTTGGTTTTATATCCTCTTGAGCTATGTCTATGATTCCTGTCTCTCGGTCAGATAAAGAAAATCTGTGAAGTCGTTGAGACAGTTCGTCGTCGTGACCAATACAAGAAGAAGAACCCATGATAATGTTAATATCCAGATACCAGTAGATCTATAAATAGAAAAGCCCCAAATCTGGAAGCCCCAAATCTGGAAAGTAGACTTCAATGAGGACTGAATGTGTGAATCAATATCGCCGGGGATGAGGAATAAAACTCAAAACAGAGAAGAAAGTGAACAAAAGCTCGATCAATGCCAGATTATCGATCGAAAAAAGGACGCTCTCCATGAGAGAATTGGGACGCTCTCCATGAGAGAATTTTTAATCCTGTAATTAGGATATCTTAAAAATGTAAATTTTATATTATTTTATTAATTATCCACAACTTGAATAATTAAATACACAAAAAATGAATAACATTTATTAAGTAAATTAACATTTTTTTTTTTGCAAATCGCATAATTGATTATTGTTGCCAATATTTTCATAATTGTAGTAATTATTTACAAAATGAATAAACCAGTCGGATTTACACAATTTGCGTAATTATCCTATATTGAAAATACATTTCATATGGTAACAAAAAAAAATACATTTTATAAAAGAATGACATGAAAAATATAAAACACTTATTAAATAATAAGTTACACAATTTAGTTGAAATTTTTTAGCAAATCACATAATTAATATTGCATCCAAAATTGACATATTTGGTTAAATCATCCGAAGTCACATGATTTGAGTAATTATCTTAAAAATATAACTTTTTATGTGTTAATTATTTCTTTAAATAATGAGACGCAATTTTTGTAAGTGATTATTTGTAAATTGTTAAATTAATTATTCGAAATAGTAAATAGATTTTTTTTTTGTGGAAAATATTTAGTATTTAAAAAATAATCAAACCTTTAATAATAATAATAATAATAATAATAATAATAATAATAATAATAAATATTTAATGTACATTAAACTTGAACTACAATGAAGAGATTATTTGGAACATAAGATAAAGATTAAATATATCCAAAAAAATCTGCAGGCAATCCTTTCTTTAAACGTTTGAATTTAAATTTTTGACTGAAAATTTCAAATTATGCTTGGGCGGGATTTCTAAATTTTTTTAAAAAAGTTACTATGTTTAGTAAATTTCTAAGCGGGAATTCTAATCATTTTTTAACTACTATTTTAGGATTTATTGAGTTACCTCTTTATATAATAATAGATATTATACAATTCAATTTATGTAATTAACATCTCATTGGGCCTCTATCATTTGAGCATATTAAATAAATGCTTATTGTGCCGTATATTAATGACATAGGTTAGCTGGAGCTTAGAACATGCCAAACTTAAGGGAAGAATGGAGGTTTTGCAGAAAAACCAAAGGTACATATATAACAAAGCTAATTATTATTTTTTAATATTTAATTGAATTTATAATATATTGACTGGGGCTTACTAATTGTTACCGTTACAGGCATTATATGGGAGATGATTTGGAGAACTTGAGCTTTAAGGAGTTGCAAAACTTGGAACATCAACTTGATGTCTCCCTTAAACATGTTCGAACGCGCAAGGTAATATTTCAATTCTAAAAAGTTTTATGTATAAGATTATTATTTGCCAAGTCATGATAATCAACCGAAAATTTGGAAAATAGCATCTATTCAATTAAAGCAATGTTTAAAAACCATTGATATTTATTAATTATTTTATTCTGTCTTACGAATTGATTTTCAACAAAAGTGGGGGGAATCTATATATATATAATTATTAGCTCAAAACATTTAATAAAACCTATTTAATTTTACCTATGTGGCAATTTAATAATTTTCCCTCTAAAAACCGTTACATTTTGATGTATTTAATCTTTCATTTAATCATTAAATAATTAATACTCATCACTTCAAAATTACAAAAATCATTTTAAATTTTTTATTAATGACAGTTGACCATATAATGTGTTGACCGTATAATGTGATTAGATGCTATTATTGTTGTTACATTTAATTTTTTTCTTAAAAATAAAAAATATATTTGAAATTCCTAAATAAATAATAAATAATTCACAAATAAAAGACGTACCAAAATATACATTACATCTATCTAATCAGATAAACGCAATTTAAAGAAAAAAATATTCCAACTCTTTTAATTATAAATTTGGTCTGCAAAAAAGTGAAAGAAAAATAATTAATCATTATATGCATACAAACTCACAATAATTTATTTATATCTGTGCAAATGCACAGGTCGAATACTAGTTTATTATATATCTCGGATTATCAATGGCGGTAATATTTTGGTGAATTGATAAAACATCTATACATTGTTCAAAATAGGGCATCTACAAATAAGTTCTCAAATTTTTCGGCCTATTTCTATTCCTTTTTTACCCTCTTTTCT